CTCCCAGAGAAGTAATAGGCAATGTTCAGTGTGCTCCTCTCTGCTCCCGGGTTGTGGGCCAGGCTCAGAGCTGCACCAGCCTCTCCCGCCTCCCTGGCTGCTTGCTCTCCTTTTCTTTACATAAAGGGCTACTGCAACTCCTCCTGTGCCTCAATGAAATTAATACATTGGGGGGAGGTGGTATAAAGTGCGTGAGAGTCACAGGAAGAAGAGAGTTACTGTCACTTCTGAACTCAGAAGCCAAGGAACTGCTTCCTCTCATGCCTTCTCATTTGTTCTCACACCTTCTGGGTGAGTCTGGTTTTATTAAGAATCTCTCCGTCCAAGTCAAATCCGAGGGGGTATAAATAGCACTGCTCCTACCCCCATCTGACCCGCAGATGAAGATTAGCATAAACTCAGCTGGAGAGGTCAACAGGAGGACGAGGGCCTGGGTTCTGGGTTGGTAGCCACTGAAATCAGACACTCAGAATCTCAGGCGAAGAATCTTTAGATACCGGGGCATTCGCAGGAGAAAAGGAATTCCGGCTTCTTTTCTCGTGCCAGGAGCAGGCGGTCCCAGATGGGAGAATCCTTGGACTGCAGAGGCTGGGCCTGTGGGCTGGATGAGCGTGAAAGGAGCAGAGCGCCAGGGTTATCTTGGGCCACTTCGCTCTGCCTTCTTGCTCCTGCAAAACCGCGTCGGAAAGCAGCAGAGACAGGTGACTGCGATTTGTGTTTGGGTGCCGAGCCCTTCAACACAACCTGTGCTCTTCAGGCAGCCTTGGAGCCATAATGAAAACACAGTCCCTGCCTTCCATAGTTCAGTGAGCTGTTGTAAAGAAAAACTAGATTATGTGTGCTAAAGCACCCCGCAACGACAAGATAAAATGGGGGAGTAATAATACCATGATACCATGGAAAACAAGCGCAGCAAACACGTAGCTCTTGCTTATTGCCAGGCACTATTCTGAGTTTACATTCACGATTTCACTTAGTTCTCACTGTAACCTTTTGAGGGAAAAGTCTGTTTATATTTCAGATAGGTGATGAGAACCACGGAGACCTGGAGGAACTCTAAGTAAGCCATCCAGGAAGGACTGGTGCTAGGATTTGAACCCAGGCTGATTCCTTTTAACCACTATGGTTTAGAGGGGAAAAAAAAAGCCACAAAAGCATAAACTTTTGCCCACACTAGAAGACCAGCATTTGAATCCTGGCTTCACGGGCTGTGTTGTGTGGTCAGATTTTTAGGCAGCCTGGCTCTCAACATGCTCATCAATGAAAACACTTGTAGATGTTTGGTGGGGATCAAATAAGAAAACATGCCAAATATAGTGTTTAGCCAACAGGAGTCATGTTAGCAGCTTATTAATAGATTTTGGTGGTGGGGTAGTTTGGTCAGACTGTCATTAAAAAAGAAATACCACAGCCCAGGTGGACTGAATAACAGGTTTATTTTCTCATGGTTTTGGAGGCTACAAGTCCAAGATCAAGGTGCCGCTGAGTGGGTTTCCACTGAGTGCTGAGGGCTCTTGTCCTGGCTTGCCATCACCTTCCTGCCATGTCCTCACATGGCCTTTCCTTGTTGAGTGGAGGGAGGAGAGAGAGGGAGGGAAGGAAGGAGGGAGATAGAAATAGAGAATAGAGTTATCTTTTGTCTCTTCTTCTAAAGACGTCAGTCATGTTGGATTATGACCTCACCTTTATAACCTCAGTTAACCTAAATTACCTCTGTAAATGCCTTATCTCCAAATTACAGTCACACTGGGCACTAGCCTTCAACCTATGAATGTCGGTGGACACAGTTCAGTCCCTAGCAGGTGGGAAGCTGAGGAGAGAGGGCTAGGAGAGAAAGGATGTTTCTAGAGTTTTAATGTGTAGGTAGATGTCTCAGGCATCGCCTCAGGGAGGAAAGGAAGCTGTGGCTATGTGTCGTCCGCAGTAGGGAGAAGAGATCGTCACCAGTGTGTGCTATTTGCTTTCTCTTTGGTATTATGGAAAACGTCTTTTCTATTTTCTATTTTTGATCTTGCCAGGTGAGCTGAATTTAAATACATTGGGAATATGCACGGTAATGAGGCTGTTGGAAGGGAACTGCTCATTTTCCTGGCCCAGCACTTATGCAACAAATACCAGAAGGGGAATGAGACAGTCGTCAACCTGATCCACAACACCCGATCCACATCATGCCTTCGCTGAACCCCGACGGCTTTGAGAAGGCAGCATCCCAGGTGGGTGCCCGGCTGGTCAGGTGGGGCTGGCCTTCCTCGTGATCCATGTGCTTCTACATATGTACACATCTCTAAGTAATGCTGTCATCTGGAGTTTCCACAAGGCTCACTGGAGAGTAAAAGTGGGTACAGAATTCAGCTGGCTGGTAAGAAAATAAGCCAGAATGTGAGGGGTTACAGAATTTCTTCTTCAGCCAGGAGCCTGGAGCTTCTTCCCAGTCTCCTACGTGGGTACAGGGGCCCAAGCACTTGGGCCATCCTCCACTGCCTTCCCAGGCCACAGCAGAGAGCTGGACTGGAAGAGGAGCAACCGAGACTAGAACCGGTGTCCAAACGGGATGCCAGCACCGCAGGCAAAGGATTAACATAGTGGTGCGACGGGGCTGGCCTCTTGTTTTATTTTTTATTTTATTTTTTATTTTTTTAATTTTCTCATGGTTAACCAAAGATTAGACAGCTATTAAAACATTGGTCTGGCCAGAAGCTCTTCCTCTTTGGTTTCGGTAGAGGGCGCTGTGTCCCTGACTCATCCAGACCGAGCCGAGGGATTCCCCTTCAATACAGAGCAGTATTTTTCATACTGGCAAATTTTTAGAAGGAAATTTATCTAGTCACAAACGAGGATGAATTAATCGGAATTATTTAACAACACAGAAAAACATTATCAAAAAATTAACTGATTAACAAAACTTCTCATGCAGTCTCGGCTTCAGATCGGCGCAGCTCCGTCTGTTGCAGCCATTTGGGGGTGAACCAACGGAAGGAAGACCTTTCTCTCTCTCTCTCACCGTCTGTAATTCTACCTGTCAAATAAAATAAATAAAAATCTTAAAAAAAAAACACAAATAAAACAAAAAATAACTCGCCAATAAACTAAAAAAAAGTGATATACTTTGGCTGTTAGAGAGCTAGAAATGAATGGTATTAAGAGAAGCTATAGAGTGTATTCTCATTTTGATTGGACAGGATTGGGGATATAATATTTGCAGTTTTCTTCAGTTTGAAATAATTTTCCTATTGTATGGGAACACAAGTAAAGCTTTAATTTTTATTTTTTAAAGTAAATATTTTTTGTGTGTAGCTGCAATTAAGAAAATCCAGGGACCCAGTAGTTGACATCTACTACAGAGTGAATTTCTGTAATAAGTATAATATTGATATGCTTTCCAAAGTTATAGGAGAAAATTCTAGTAAGAAAATTAAGTTATTTAATGTCTTAATGTGATCTTGATCTTATAAGACAGATGAGTAAAAGATTATCATTGTTGTTTGGTGTCTTACAGATTTTTATTTCTCACAGTCTAAGGTATATAGGAGTACATGACTTAAAATTCCATCATAGACTTGAAGTAATTTAATCATAAAACAAAATGCACATTATAACATTAATCCGAGTATCTTGGAAATTCATTAAGTTTCTAGGTTGTAGCACAGTGAAAGGAAGCATTTAAATTGGACAGAAATTCCTCAAATTGCAAGACTCTAGAACTTTTGTTCTAGAGCTTGTTTTTCTTCTTGAGGGCTACTGGAAGGAGATGTGTTATTAAATATGAATTATTCATGTTGGACTTATTTTAAGCTTCTAATCTTATTTAATGATTCTTTTAAATATTTAAAAATAGTTTGCTGTGATTTAGAGGCAATGAATATTTTAGTTAAATCTAAATACAGAATGTATGCTATTATTAATTAATATATACTGAATTTTTGAAATTGAATGACACATACCTCTTAAATACTTATTAACACTTAAAATATGATTCATCAAAAATATTTTCAAAATATCCAAACAAGTACCTTAAATCGATACCTTCATTCTTTTGTAAGTAAAATAGTGAAAATTGCATTATGGGAGGATATCATTGAAATGAATACTAATCCTTATTTTAAACTTATTTTAAAAACCATGAATAGAGACCTTATAGTTACACAATGCCGATAACTGAGCATCTTTGTGATTTTTTTTTTTTTTTTTAGCCTGGTGAGCTCCAGGATTGGTTTGTGGGTCGAGCAATGCCCAGGGAATAGATTTGAACTGGAACTTCCCAGACTTGGATAGGATCGTGTACGCCAATGAGAAAGAAGGCGGCCCCAATAACCATCTGCTGAAAAACCTGAAGAAGATTGTGGATCAGAACGCAAAGGTCGACCATACGTGTCGTCGTCGTTTTCCGGGCTGTGTCCTCTAAGCTAAGGCGATGGGCCCTCACGTGTTTGTTCTTCCTGAAGGATGCAGGTGTGCAGCGGGCATCTGCCCTGTCACCTGCATGGTTTCAGTTACCCACCACCATCTCAGTCCAAAACGATTAAATGGGCAATTCCAGAAATAAACAGTTCACTAAGCTTTACGTTGCGAGCTGTTCAGAGTAGCGCGATGGAACCTCGGGCTGTCCCACTCCATCCTCCCTGGCTGTGAGTCGTCCCTAAAGCATCCACACTGTATCTGCCACCCCACCATTCAGTGGTGTCTCTGTTAAAGAGATCAACTGTCATGTTGTCACAGGTTTTGTTCAAGTCATTCTTGAACAGTTTCCGGGATTGGACCCGATGTGTGAGAATAGTGACGTTGGCTATTTTATTACAGTATATCATTATAGCTCTATTTCTTGTGAGTTATTGTTAATCTGTGACTGTGCCTGACTTACAAATTAAACTTTATCAGAGGGATGGATGTCTAGCAAAAAGCATCTTATAGAAAGGGCTTGGGAGTACCTGCAGGCATTCACTGCAGGTCTCAGAAAAGGGGCAAAGACTGTCACGTGTGGAGTAAACTCTGACATGAAAGTCATGGCCAGCGGGCTGGTGCTGGACGTGAGTCCTGCTCTCTGGAATTGGGTTCAGGGGTGGGGACAGAAGGGAGGAACCCAGAATGGGCATCTCAGTCACCACGGCCCTGGATCTGTGTCCCTGTAAGTTCTCTTCAAGGTCTCCCTGGCTCCATCGCTCTAGCTCCAGACCTTTGGTGGAGCTCCATTCTCAGTTTCACCTGCTCGCTGGGTCCCTTTGCCCAGTGGAACCCAGGGCCGCAAGCTTAGCTTCTCTGGAAACAACTATTTTCTCTTAGAGTCACTATTCTTCCATTATCCTGATCATGAAAACCTTTGATTTTTCTGCTCCCCGCCCTCACCAGCAGTGAGTTCCCACAGCTCCCACCTCTGCAGTCTCCTTTCCTTTGCAAAGACACCCCACAGCTTTAATTCAGGTCCCCACGGTCTGCTCTGCTGGGTGAGACTCCCACTCTTTGTGTCTAGCCTCTCTCCATTCTATTGAGTTTTCTCAGATTGCTCCACAGTGAACCTCTCCACCCCCCCCACAGTTACTCTTTTGCTTCAGACCTTGCCAGTGGTCCATAAAGTGAAGAATGCTGACAGAGTGAAAAGCCAGTATGGGAGAACAGTGTGATGGTGAAACTCGGAGACCCTGACTCAAGTTCTGGCTCCGAGATTTGCTGTGTGAACTTTGAAAGGTTACTTGACATCTCTGTGCTTCAGTGTCTTCATCGGGGATGTGGAGACAGCAGCAGTGTCCATCTCATAAGATGCTCATAGAGACTGAAAGAGTTAACAGGTGTAGGGCGTGAGGTCGGGAGCCAGAACTGTTATCATCTCCGTGTAATTTCTCAGCGCTTCCTGTTAGGGAGGTACTCAGGACTAGATGGACACATACTCACTCAGCACTGGTGTCTTCAAACCAACATTTTTTCAGTGCTGCAGAGAAGCTGAGCCCACAAGGAAGAAGCGCAGGAGGCAGCTCTCAGTTCCTGCTTGGTTGCCGCAGGCAATTCTTGCTCTAAGTGGGAGGGGGAAAGAGCCATTTCCCCACCTGTTATAGCTTCAGGGTCATTCACAAGTCCCTTGGCCCCTGGAAGCTGCCAGCTGGCTCACCCCTTAATCTGGCTTGGATGCTTGGTACAACCACACCCTCTCCTTGTTCCCAGGATTTTGTTTTCTGACAGTTCAGTGCCTGGCTCTGAATCGTCCCCAGGCCTGGGATCCCTTGCCTTTGCTCCCAGGTCCCCCCCGGGCAATGTCCCTCTGCTCTTGAGGATGCGTCCTGAGAAGCCTTGCTCTGTGTTCTCCAGGGCAGTGCTCACTGTCGCAGGAGCATTCCTCCTCTCACCGGGATTTGTTTATGTGGCTGCCTTTCTCCATGAGTCTGCACCCCCTTGTTCCCAGGGCCTGCTATGACTGAAGGTGCAATCCAGTCTCACAAGCAAATCTGAAAAATGTAGGATGTGAAAGTGCAGTCACGAACAATCCAGGCTGGGACACTGGGGAGAGGGTCCTCAGGCAGAGGGTCCCGGATTGTTGACCTAAATTCTCGACATTCTGCTGCCTGTGTTTAGGAGTCCTCCCAGAAACCTGGGCTCAGCCTACAGGCGGAGGCTGGGCTGCCTCTGGGCTGCCAAGGGCTAGGCTCTGGCAGGACCTTCTAAGTGAGTGACCAGAGCTTCCCTGCCTGGGAGTCACAGACACACTCGCTGCTTCTCAGCCCCGCCCCCCCAAAGTACCTTTTCCAGGGAGAGGGAGAGCTGGACAGGCGGAGGGCCAGCGAAGAGGGTACAGTCCTGTTAGTATGACTTCAGCAGAAACAAAACTCTGGCCTCAGACTTTCCCATCTTTGTCTTTGTTGAACCCGCCTTTGTTACATCTGAGAAGCAAGGAAAATAATTTCTGGCACCTGATATGGAAGAATTGTGAACTGAACTCATGTTGACCAGATGTTTGATTGGCAACTTTGTGCAAGTGACATTATTTCCAGCCTGCACCACCTTCTCCATCCCAGCTTTAACCGGGATAATATTTGTGTAATCTCTAGATATTTTGTATTTCCAGCTTAGGCATATTTGCTTAAATGATGCATGCTCATTGGTATTATATTTTTTTTAAATATTTATTTGAAAGGCAGAATGACAGACGAAGAAAGAGAGAGAGAAAGAAAAAGAGACAGATTTTCCATTTGCTGGTTTACTCCCCAAATGCCTGCAATAGCCAGAGCTGAGCCAAGTTGAAGCCAAGAGCCTAGAACTCTATCCAGGTTCCCCCATGTGTGGCAGGGACCCAAGTACTTGGCTTATCACCTGCTGCCTCACAGACATGTTAGCAGGAAACTGGATTGGCAACAGGGCAGGGAGTTGAGGGCAGAACTCAATCCCAGACCCTCCAAAATGGGATGCTGGCTTCCTAAGTGGTGGCTTAACCTGATTGTACCACAATGCCTATGCCGGTGGTATTCTTTTAAATAAGAACTTTTATTGAGGGGCTGGTGCCGTGGCTCACTTGGTTAATCCTTCGCCTGCGACACCAGCATCCCATACGGGTGCTGGGTTCTAGTCCCGGTTGCCCCTCTTCTAGGCCAGCTCTCTGCTGTGGCTCTGGAAGGCAGTGGAGGATGGCCCAAGTGCTTGGGCCCCTGCACCCGCATGGGAGACCAGGAGGAAGCACCTGGCTCCTGGCTTCAGATTGGTGCAGTGCCGGCCATGGCTGCAATTTGGGGGATGAACCAACGGAGTGAAAACCTTTCTTTCTGTCTCTCTCTCTCACTGTCTATAACTCTACCTATCAAATTAAAAAAAAAAAAAAAAAACTTTTGTTGAAAAAAACCAAAAAACAAAAAATCAATGCCGCTACTTTTTCTAGATAAATGCAAATTAAAGAAAAATACATGGAAATCAAAGTTTAATCCCCTTCCTGAAACATAAAGCAAGATGTGTTTACTGTATACTGATTCTTCAGTAAAGCTGTTTATAATTGGGGGATGGTATTGTGCGTGTCTTGTGCCTTGTCTCCGTTTCCCCAGTTTGTCAGTAAGAATGTGGGAGTGTTAAGACCCAGCAGGGAAGAGACAGTTGGCAGGGATTTCATAAGCGTCACTATATCCCCTCCCACTCCCTTCCCTTCGCCCCTGATACCTCTCTGTGTATATCACACCTAGGAATGCTTTGGAATCGCAAGGTTAGCTCTGCTGTTTGCTGGGCCAGCCTTCCCCTGTTAGAGATGCAGATTCCAGCTGATATGGCTCCATGGAGTCTGGGGTGTGTGCTGTGGCCTTGGTGGTGGAAGGAGTTGACATTCTCCACGAGCCCCTGGTGCTCCGGGGCCCCCCTGAGATGGGCCGCGAGGCCAACACTCTCCTGGCCCCTCTGAGCCTCTCTGCCTAGAGCTTCCTCTTGCTCTTCTTCCTGCTGGGTCGTTTCTCACCTGCTCTTGAACTGTCGGTCCAGCTGCCTCCCCTGTCATCCAGGCTCAGTGGATGAAAATGCATCCCATAATTTGTTGAGTTTATACTTACCTTTAATGGTTACCGTTGTGAAGAAACCTAAATCAAATGAGGAACTTCAAACAGTCCATGGAAAAATCAGGGAGCAGCTGTTTGGCCTAGCACCGTGCCTGGGTCCCACGTTGAAGTGCCCGAGTTTGAGTTCTGGCTCCTGCTGCTGGCTCCAGCTTCCTGCTAGCATGCTGGAAGGTGGCAGTGATGGCGCAGGCGATTGGGTCCTTGCCACCCATGTGAGAGACTCAAACTGTATTCCCAGCTCCAGGCTCCAGCTCTGGCCCAGCCCGGCCTCAGTTGTTGTAGGCATCTGGGGAGTGAACTGGAGGATAGGAGGTTTATCTCTCTCTGTCTCTGAAATAAAGAAACAAAAAAATTTTAAAGTTTATAGAAAAGTAGAGTTAACAGATATGTTTAATTTGGTGTAAAACTTTTGAAATCCATGCATAACCTTTTTATGGTATGTATTTCTATACATTTTTAATACCACTCCTAGAGTTTCAACTTGTTTTGGGAGCCAAAGTCATCTAATGATACAGCCTAATATTTGAGCTGCATTTACAGTCTTTAAATGGAAGTTCAAAGTTAATGAAGAATTTATTTTTATTTGAGAGACAGAGACAGATGCACATAGATATTCCTCTTCAAACGCCCTCAGTAGCTGGGGCCGGGCTGGCAACTTAATCTTAGTCTCCTACATGGCTGGCAGGGAGCCAAGTCCTTGAGCCCTCACCTACTGCCTCCCAGGGTGCACATTAGCAGGAAGTTAGAAATGAGAGCAGAGCCAGGACTTAAAGCCAGGCACTCTGATGTGGGATGAGGGCCACTCAAGTGATATCTTGGCCACTGTAGCAAATGCCTGCCCCCAAGTGCAGGCTGTAAAGATAGGCCACAGCTGGTTTTAGGTTCCACAGTGGCTTGATCTTAGGGGTGTCTTGGTGTCTTCTCGGTGGGCCACTTAAATGTGAGGAGTTCTCAAAAAGTTCTTTAGGTAGCAAAGTTATGAGTAATTTTAATTTTCTTGTTTGTGACTATCTGTCTCCTCTACAGTTTGTGCAGTGAGCATTTGTTAATAGTGAGGGTAAAATCCACCAACCAGACAAATAGCAAAAATAATACCCTAATCTTTTTGTAACCAACATACAATAAGTTTATGAATTTTGGAGTATGGTATGATAATACAGCAAACACATTGTGGGGTGATCAAATCAGGGTATCTACTGTTTCTCTTTCCTTAAACATTTACCATTTCTTTGCATTGAGAGCCTCTGGACTCCATTTTTCTAGTCTTTTTATACAACATGCAATAAGTTGTTGTAAGCTATAGTCACCCTGCCATGTTGTAGAACATTACAACTTATTCTTCCAGTTAGCCATGTTTTGCTACCCCTTAACAATATCCTAAATCACCCTTTTCCACAGTTCTGAGTAGCACATGTGAAGAATAGGAGAGTTTTCTGCAGTGACGCTGACATACTAAGAGTAATGTGTGTCTTTGGATTGGAATCCTCACCTGTGTGGACTTGTGCATGGTATTTCACACCCCCAGCATCAGATTCTCCCCTGGGAAGTGGAGCTCCCTGTCTTTGTATATCCAGTGAGGTGTTATGAAGTGCAATAAAATAGCATATATGAGAGCTGTTCATAAGCCAAACTGGGATACACAAATACATGATCTCACCCTGACCAGCAACCCATATGGATGCCTTTAGAATTGCTGTCCCAAAGAACAGTACAGATCACATCTCCAGGGACAGCTTTTTTCTTTTTACCACAGAAATACTTGGAGTTTTAGAATCTCCCCCACTGCTATTAAAAGCTCATCATAAAAAGTATCAAGTTTTTGGCTCCAGATTAATTTTTTGGTATAATTTTTTCTCCTTTGTTTTGCTTCCAAGATATGAGGGGATGTGAATCATTCAAAAAACTCAACATGAATTCCTGAAACGTGTGCTTTTGTTTGTAAATTTAAGATGATCATTCCAAAGTAAACTGAGATTTTATAGTTACCTCTAAAATAGACCCAGACTAATATTCTTTTATAGGGACAGTGTTTGAAGTAGTAGAAGAAAACTGGAAAAATAGTAAGCCAAAGTTGGAAATAAAAATCTACCACGTGTTTGAAGAACCTTAGATGAGGAACTCTGCTCTGTAGGCCAACTGTTATCTTCTCTCCTTATCTTATTCTTAACTATTACGAGCCGAGATGCATGAGCTATGACAGATCAGCTAAAGCTGTCCCGACATTTGTAAGTGATTTGCAGGTTTGTTTTCAATTTACCAAAGAGAAAAACAGACAGAACTTGTAAAGAAATTTAAGTGCTATTGAAATATTTTTATTATACATCTGAGAAAGATAGATATGGGGGCTGCTGCTCTTACAGGAAACTTTTCCAATGAAAACAACCGCAAAGTGGTTGAAATAGGACCAGGTTCCAGTTTTTTTTCTTGACCTTTCCTATGTCTTTGCTGTCATGAGAGCGTACCAATGACTCCAATTCATAGTCCTTTTCCTCTCCAATCTTTCATATAGCTTGCGCCTGAGACCAAGCCTGTCATTCACTGGATTATGGATATTCCTTTTGTGCTCTCTGCCAATCTCCATGGAGGAGACCTTGTGGCCAATTATCCCTACGATGAGACCAGGAGTGGTAGGTATTCTTGCCTGTCCAACTGGTTCATGGTTTGCAATGACTATGCTCAGTGAGGGTATATAGGATGACTTGTGTGATACTCTTTTAGATAACCAGTCGTTAAGTGATAGACATACGTATTGTTTAACAGGAACATCCCCTAATAATTTCATTTAGCAGTGGCACATCTGTTGGACATAAAAAGACTGTAATGTTTTTTCAAAGCTTAGGTGAATAGAAACAGGATTTTTTTCAAAGGGTATTTGTTTAACTTGAGAGGGAGAGGAAGAAGGAGAGGAGAGGCAAAGTGGCGGAGGGGAAGAGTGAGTGAGTGAGAGAGAACCTTCCTGTTCACTGGATCAGTTCCAAATGCTTGCAACAGGCGGGACTGAGTGAGTGGCTGGGGCAGAGCCAGGAGCCAGGTGTGCAAGTTCAGTCTCCCACGTGGGTAGCAGGAACCCAATAACTTGAGAGATCAGTGCAGCACTGCTGCCTCCAGTGTCTGCATTGGCAGGAAGCTGGAGCCAGAGCCAGAGTTGAACTCGGGCATTCTGATGGGGCGGCCTGTGTTCCAATGGCTAGGCTAGATTCCTGCCCCCCGCCCCCAAACATGATGCCGATAGAATACTTCTGAAAAGAAAAGAAGACAGAAGTCACAAATTGGGTCGCTCCTGGTCACTGGTAAAAGGGAGCGATTACAGAAATTACATAGGCTTGTGCGCCAAGGACTTCCATACAGAGACAGCCTCCTGGTGCCTGGGCAGGGCGCCGTGACTCTGTGTATCTTGGTGTGCGCTTTTTCTGGGGATGCCAGGAAGGGGAACTGTTGCTTGGTCTCCTCCATGAGTTTCAGTTGCACCTCAGGTAGCGCAAGCTTTAGCTAGTTATTTCAGCTTATTTTTTCTTGCTCCAGGAAGTTTCCCGCATCGTATCCATTCCTGGGGACCTTGAAAGAGTTAGCGCTTTGTAAACATGCGATGATGCTTTTAGATATCGGGAAGCTTTGGGAGTTGAAGAAAGGTTAGCGAAACAAAATTGTTAAATAAACTTAGAAATTTTGTGGCTTGTCAGGAGCTGGGAAATTTGTAGGCTAGGAATACAAGAGGAGCTCCAAAAACCTCAAAAAACTCCAAAACGTGCAATTGAAAGATAAGTTTATAGGAAGTTTGGAATCCATGCATAGTTTTCACATAATACAGTTTTCTGTGAACCTTTTGAAGTCCCCTCATTTTATAGTACATAAGTAAGAATTCAAAGCATAAAATTAATATGATGTATTTCTTCAATGTACATAGGAGATTTAAAACGAAATCTAAAGTAGAATACTGAATAGCTTGTGTGAGAGTGGTTCATAGAGTCAGTGAGGTTTGTGCAGGTGCATTTTTAAATAACATTTAATCAGCAGGATTGTCTCTGTTATCCTTACCTGAGTAAGAGTTCATGGGAAATGCATATTATGGGAAAACTATGGTTGCAAAATTTTTTTGCACCACAGTAACCTTATTCTTTAATTCCATTTTTCATGAACTTTTTGAAGTCCTGTTTTATGGCCTTATCAGATTTTCTTGTGAAGTTCCAGTTAGTAAGTGGCATATGCATTCTATCCAACTTCTCCATGGCAGTGCTAGGAGTGGAAGTTACAGAACCTAAGCACAATGGGTAATAGTTTAGTACTTAACCCTTCACCCCATTTCCCCTAGTGACATAGCTGGAAAAAAAAAGTACCAGTAAAAACTCAACACGGAATTGCTCCTTGGAAAAACAAGCAGGGTATTTTGATCAGTGTCGAGTCCCTTCATCTTGAGAATTATTTTTTCAGGAAGTGCTCATGAATACAGCTCCTGCCCAGATGATGCCATTTTCCAAAGCGTGGCTCAGGTGTACTCCTCTTTCAACTCAGTCATGTCTGACCCCAACCGGCCACCCTGTCGCAAGAATGATGATGACAGCAGCTTTGTAGAAGGCACAACCAACGGTGGTGCCTGGTATAGTGTGCCTGGCGGTGAGTTTCCATTCTGATCTTTGTTTATGTGGTGGTTGCTTATTGACAGTTACCACTGAGAGTCAGCCATTCATCCTCCTCCATTGTTATAGAGTACATTGAATTTACAGTTCTACCAATAAATATCCTGTCTATTTTGTGCAAATTTTTTGGTAACTAAGGCATACTTTTTCATGATACCTGTTTTCCATGAATTTTTTTCTCATTTGAGAGACTGAGAGAGATACAGACAACAAAGCTCCCATCTGCTGGTTTATTCCCCCAAAGCCTGCAATGGCCAGGGTTGGGTGGTTGCTGAAGCCAGGAGCCAGGAACTCAATTCATATCGTCCATGTGGGTGGCAGGGACCCAACTACTTGAGCCATCACCTACTGCCTCGTAGGGTGCATATTAGCAGGAAGCTGTAACGAGAAGCAGTGCCAGGATTTGAATCCAGAAACTCCAATATGGGATGCGGTTGTCCAAATGAGCAGCTTAACTGCCAGGCTAAATGCCCACTCCCCCATGAACATTTTGCAGACCCCTCCTATGTAGCATCGAGCCTCCCACTCCATCAGGGATGTACTGTGATATTGGGGATTCAGGAAAGGGATAATATGTCAATCGTCGCACACGACTCTCCAAGGTCTTCCCTGATAGAAAGGTGAGCTTAGTGTTCATGTGTCCAATAGGAGAAGACATCAAAAAGTTCATGGAGGGGCTGGCGCTGTGGCTCACTTGGTTAATCCTCTGCCTGCGATGCCGGCATCCCATACGGGTGCTGAGTTCTAGTCCCGGTTGCTCCTCTTCCAGTCCAGCTCTCTGCTGTGGCCCAGGAAAGCAGTGGAGGATGGCCCAAGTGCTTGGGCCCTGCACCCGCATGGGAGACCAGGAGAAAGCACCTGGCTCCCGGCTTCAGATCGGTGCAGCGCCGGCCATAGCGGCCATTTGGGGGGTGAACCAATGGAAGGAAGACCTTTCTCTCTGTCTCTATCTCTCATTGTTGATAACTCTGTCAAATAAATAAAAAATAATAAAATAAAAATAAGAAGTTCATGGAAAACACAATACTAATTTGAAAATTCTATCCATGAACTTTTCTTTTTAGATAGAGATGTTATTAATTATTTATTTGAAAGGGAGAAAGAGGCAGAGAGAGAGAGAGGGAGGAAAGGCGGGAGAGGTGGGGGGAGGGGAGAGAAAGAATACGAATTTCCCATCTACTGGTTCACTCCTCAAAAGCCAGCAACAGCTGGTGCTGGGCCAGTCCAAACTGCAAACTCAATCCAGGTCCTGCATGCAGGTGGCAGGAACTCAAGCACTTGAGGCATCACCTGCTGCCTCCTAGGGTGTACATTACTAGGAAGCTGTAATGAGAAGTGGAAGAAGGACTCAAACTCAGGCAGTCCAGAATGCGATGTGAGCAAACCAAGCGCCATCTTTATAGCTGCACCAAGTGCCCACCCCTCCGTGAACTTTTTAAGGTTCCATTGTACCTTAGTAGGAATTGAATCTTTTACCTTGTTGTCTTTCTTGAAGCCCATTTCAGAAGCAGGGAATGTGGGTAACACCTGCCTTAGCACCCTGCCTCAGCAATGCATTAAGCTAAATGATCGCTTAAGAACCTAGGAGAGATGGTGCTTTAAGGGTAGTGACTGTCTTTTCTAAGTGTGTTTTTCAATACTGATGGTAGGAAGTTTCCTACAAACTTCCGCAAATGCACCAGTTGGTGTATCTTTTGCTTGGCCCTCAAGGTGGCAGAGTGGCCTGTGTAGAGTTTTAATCACCATGAGAGTATTTGATTTTCCATTTGGTGCTTTGGCAGGGATGCAGGACTTCAATTACCTCAGCAGCAACTGTTTCGAGATCACGGTGGAGCTCAGCTGTGAGAAGTTCCCACCCGAGGAGACCCTGAAGAGCTACTGGAAGGATAATAAGAACTCCCTCATCAGCTACCTTGAGCAGGTAAATGCAGTCCCCAGCATGCAATGGGAGATTCAGGAGCATTTACACTGGTGTACAACAGTCTCCCAAGAGGTGTTCAGTCCGAGGCATCCATCTGCCCCAGAATGAGGCTGTCTTATTTGGAAGACAGGTGCTGGCCATGGGTTAATTAGGCTTTCACTTGTCATAGCTTTTGTGCTTCATGACTATTCACTGAGAATGTCTACACAGGAGAGTTGTGGAGAAGTGAGGTAGAACCTTGTTTTCATCTGTATTATTCGAAACGAGCAATCCCGGACTCTCACCTTCCCTGAGCCCCTTCGGTGTGTGGCATCCCAGGAGGCCAGGGGCTGAGTAGGGAAAGTGAGGCCCACAGAGTGCACTTAACTCTTGAGCTCATGCAAGTGTAGCAGCAAGACTGCGGTGAGTTTGTTCTTGACCGTATGTCCTGCATCCCTTGCTTGTCTCAGCCTAGCTCAGCTGCGTCATGGGTAATCACGATCATGGCAGCTTACACTGGCTGGGCACTTACTGTTTCCCAGTCATTATCCTAAATGACTGGCATGTAACAATAGTGGCACTTTGTCCTCATGACAACCCTATGAGGGAAGTTACATCAGTACTACCACTACCACCACCTCCACCACCACTACCACCACCACCATCACCTTCCTCAGTGTGTGAATTAAAGATGAAGAATCAGCTACACAGGGAGGTTACACAGGGAGGTCCTTCAGTCGGAATTTGAATCCAGAATCACTGTGCTCTATGCCTCTTATGACATAACTGGGACAGTCACCAGAGAGTCACTGATGCAGCCCTTCTGGTGAGATCCATGTAGAATCGCAGAGGTTCTCATCCTCTGCCAGCACTTCACTGCTTAAGACCGGGACAGCCCCTCGCTGCCTCACTCCCTGTACAGGATGTGACATTGGTATTGGGCAGGGGCAGTGGAAGGACGTAGACGCCATTCCTTGCCTGAGTGCCTAGACAGTATTTGAATTCCGTTCTGAATGTGGTCATTTACACCCAAAGTCCAGTAGAGTGATGTCAACATCCATGACAGCAGAAACACACATTTATTAAGCTAATCTGATATGAACAAAGGCTGTTAATATTTAGTCACTTACATATACACATGTGTTTGTATAAACATATATATATATAACCAATTCATTTTTCAAAAATCAAAGTCAGCTTAGCAACTCTTCTACACGTGTCAAACATCCGTACAGCCCTACTAACAAGGACTATCATGGACTAGAGCCACTGGAATGGACCCGATTACAGAATGCCCATTCCACAGGATTTTTTTTAAAGCTTTTATTTATTTATTTGAGAGGTGGAGTTACAGACAGTGAGAGGGAGAAACAGAGGGAGAGGTCTTCCATCCATTGGTTCACTCTACAAATGGCCGCAATGACTGGAGCTTTGCTGATCCGAAGCCAGGAGCCAGCTGCTTCTTCCTGGTCTCCCACATGGGTGCAGGGGCCCAAGGACTTGGACCATCTTCTGCTGCTTTCCCAGGCCACAGCAGAGAGCTGGATTGGAAGAGGAGCAGCCGGGACTCGAACCGGCGCCCAAATGGGTTGCCAGCGCTGCAGGTAGAGGATTAACCTACTATGCCATGGCGCTGGCCCCATTCCACAGGATTTTTTCAGTCAGGGGATTCCTGTTGCAAATTAGCATAAAAATATGTTTGAACCACAAAAGCTAAGGATAAGTAGCCATGTTCCAAACCCAAGATCAGGTTTGGTGGGAACCCTATAGGTCTTCTTTGAAGACAGCTGTGTTTAGATGGATTTTCTTTTTTTTTTTTTTTTTTTTCACATTGAAGTCTCTTTATTCCTTTAGGTGTATAGAATGGGGTTACTATCCATCCTGTGTCCGCACCCACAAAGCCTCCCACTGCCCTTGGCCAGGCGGTTCCTCCGGGCTCTGAGCTCCGCTGCCTGCCTTGGAGGGGGCCTGCACAGAGCTGGGGGCGGGGGCTCAGGTCCCTCTAAAGCAGGGTGGTCCGCCCAGCCCTGCCCGTCCAACCACAGCAGGGAGTCTCAGCCGGCAACTTTGTTACAACACCCAGGCGCCTGGGCAGGGGGAGGGCACCCCACACACAGCCCGGACTCTCCCCAGCAGGGCGGGGCCTGTGTGCTTCTCCCCTGGGGACCAGGTTTCGGCCCGCAGCTCTGTGTGGGAGGGGCAGCCGGGGGTGCCTGCCCAGGTGGGCGGAGGCGAGCAGCACACGCACAGCCCCCAGCCGTGGCCTGACCTGTCAGGGCCGGGGTCTGCCCTGAGTGGGGCACAGGTCTTTGAGAAGGGGGGGCACCGGGTCACAAGGCAGAGGCCGATCTGGGGGCGCTCGTGGGGCTGGGGTCCTGGGGGCCCCGGCCGCAGGCACTGTGTAGGGACACCTTGCCCTTGGCCTTGGTGTGATTTGGGTCTGACCCTGGGCACCCGGCAGCTGAGCGGGAAGCCAGGTCTGTGGGGCCACCATGGGCAGGAGGGAGCCGGCGCCACACCTGCCAGGGCCTAGCCTCCGAGGCGGGGGTTCCAGGGGTGGTCCCCACACCACGGAGCTCTGGGGTGACCTTGACTGGCCATGGGCAGTGGGACAGGAGTGACGGTGGCGGGGGGCCCTGCCCAGCTGCTTCCTGTCCTCTCTCTGTGCACAGCCGGGTGGGGGGACTCTGCCCAGGACCCTCCATGGTGGGGGTCCTTCGGTGGTGACCACAGGTAGCCGGCGGCAGCGTCCTGCCCGGGGGGACGAAAAGTGGAGCTGATT